GAACAACAACAACAACAACTGTTTTTTCAATGTCACTAACTCAGAAATTGAACAAGAATCAGGATTCTCTTTAAGTAATTTAAAATGGCAGTTTAGAGAATTCCAAGCTTCGTGGCATTTGTGGTCAAACCAAGCATGACGTTTTCTTGGGTCATGCCTAATTGTAACAGACTGGAGTGCTATTAACAGTAATTGAAATAGTTTGGTTAAGTTACTGAAATTAGCCAGTACAATGTCATCTAACTTACCCTCCGCTATTGCTGAGCAAAGAGACTTGTCTGGTTCACTACTAGCAACCTTAGTGATTATTGCTGCTTGCTGAGATGACCATTTAGCATGAGTGGGACAAAGATCATCAGCTACTGCTGCAATGTGGCAAGAAGGTCAGAACAACCTATCAAAGATTTTCAGGCACAGAGGAACAGGAAAGTGGTCACTTACAGGTTGACTGACAATTACAAACTTAGGGAATTAAACTCTGAGAGATCCCAACATAATCTAACAGGGAAGGCTTGGTGTTAGCCCAGGGGGTATACTCACCTGGGTAATCATCACTAATAGACCCATTTAAAATGACCAAATTCAGTTTTGTAAAAGGTCAGACAAGGCAAAGCCCTCTGTAATCATTAAATATATCCTTAGAGTAGCAGCATAGAGTAGGGGGCGTTACTACAGAGGATAAGGGCTGGTAAAGAAATTTAGCAAAAAGCGATTTGTCATTTGCTCCGATTCTTGCACTAAAATTGCCAGCCAATATTAAATGTGCTGCAGGGGGTGCAGCCATTAGATCTTCCACACTGTTATCTATTTTGTCCCATACATGTCTTATCTGTGATTGTAGGCACATGGGTGGGATGTGCACATTAATCAAAAGGAATGGACTCCTATTGAATTGAAGTAGAACTGCCAATGCATACCGGTCTAATGGTTGTAAACTAGTTATTTGAACCTGTAATGAGGCACATATTAAAATACATAAACCCCCACAAAGCCTTCCATGTCCTGCACCAGGCACAGCTTCCAGTGCAATTGTCTTGAACTCTACTGCTAACAATTCACCCGCATGCCATGTTTCCTGGAAGAAAAAAAAACTATATCAAAGCTGAAGATGTATTCCAGACACGATACATCTCTACTCCTGGATTTCCACCCTGCAATATTCCAGGAAATGAAAGACCGGGGAGTGAAGTTGGTTGAACGCCACTCAGTTTGGCCAGACTTACAGCAGTTTACATTGCTGTAAATACATCTTGGGAAGCACTGGGTGGATTATATCCCGCAGCTCCTGCACGGCCAACTGCTGCGCTAAAACGGCCTGTATCAAATGTCAGAATGCCCTTTAGTGAAGCTAAGATAGAGTCCCATGAGTGCTGCTTTGCAATCTCTGTAGTTTGTGGGGCCGAGTTTGCATCTCCCGGTGGGACGTTTGAATCTTCAGTGACGCAATCCGGTTGTCTGTCTGACTGCCTGTCTTCAAGTGGTGTTGGAGTGGAACTCATGTTAGTACTGTTTTTGCAGCCTTCTGCACGGGGCACAGAGACCAAATCAATTAGTGGGGCAGCTGTCTTGTGCACTGTGTTAGTTTGCATAAGATTCTCTAACTTCTCCAGTAAGTCCTCCTGGTCACAGCCTGCCAAGGCTCCAAAGGTTTGGCTGCTACCTGTCGTCCTCTCTCTGCCTGAAATTGCTTATCCGAATAAGCTTCTCCCAAGATAGGGCTGGTTTATTATCTTTCAACCAGCAGCAGCAGCCACTCCTTGATTCTATTTAAACTGCCAGTGGTTTCTTGGTATAATGACGCAGTAAGTGGGGAGATCTGTGTCTCACAAAATACACAGCTTGGGAATATTAAGAAAGTGGTCTGCATGGGCTTCATTTTAAACAGCGTACTTGGATTATAGACTGCTTGAATGTCAGTAGAATTTGTTTACAGCCCAACTTACTAGGGAGCTACTCCATGAAATGTAAGTCAATTGCATAGTAATGACATTGAAGTAACTGGTTTAGGGAGTAACGTATTGCTTTCTTTGAGCCCCACTGCCTGCTGTTGAGTCTACTCAGGGTTTGGTTGGTTGGTTGGTTGGTTGGTTGGTTGGTGGGTCAGTGGGTCGGTCGTTCGTTCGTTCATTCATTCATTCATTCATTCATTGAATTTGTATGCCATCCATCTCCCCCAGACTCTGGACGGCTGACAGTTAGAGTAATTTACTCTATTAAGGGTAATTTGCAAATAAATCTGATTAGCTTGCAGCACTCGGTTATTTTGACTTTGATTTTCAGCCCTTCCATGTCTCAAAGGTTAAAGGACAAGGTTCTCCCCATTTTAGTGCCGAAGAATGTAAAGATAGCTTGGTGGATCACACAAAAGGCTCACCGTGTTCAACATTCTGTTCTCATGGTGGGCAGATGGATATGAAAGGAATATCTTGCTCATGTTTCCCAGTTTGATGCTGCCTTTGATGCTGAAGGTAATACATAGCTACCTTGATCAGTAGCTATTGGTAGTTTTATGCTGTATGAATTTCTTAATCTTCTTCTAAAGCCATCTAAAATAGGGGCTAATTATGACCTATTGAAACCTTCCTTTATGAAAGATCTTTGCGAGTTCCCCAAGTGTGCATTTATTTCTTTGAACATGATCCATTTCTGAATTTTTTGCTTATTTCTGAGTCAGTAATTTGTCAGTAATTCTCAAAAGTACAGTAGAACAGTGAATCTTCACTTCCCAACCACCCCATCTTTATCAATAACCTTGTTGTTAACCTTGTTGATCATTGAACAATTTTGCAACTTGGTTGGGTAATTTGAGGATAAGTCTAGACTAACTTTTTTTTATAGTGGGAGTTGCAATAACTGGCATGCCTTTTTGGAAGAAATGTATCCCTGAACTGTATCTCTGAACTGTGTTAATAATATAGTAGTTAAAAAGCTTTTGAAACCACATCCTAGAAACTGGTTGGCTTATTCAGAATGGAACCTAAAAAGAAGGGATTCTATTTTAGAGGTGTGTCCCAAAAGGTTTCTGGGATCATATTTTGAAGAAGACCCATGAAAGTGAAAGAAATAATTGGCATATCAAAGCAAGGTTTTAACCATGTCTCCGGAAAAATAAAAGTTCATTCAAGGAGAAGATGAGCGTTAGTCTATAATCAGGACTATTCAAGCAAAGGGCACTCAGACTTAAAGAAATCTACAGTTTTATGCAATTGTAGACTTATTCAGCTTCGTTGTGGACTTCTCAGATGAATACATGATGGTCTTGATAGAGAGGCAAGAGGCAGATAATATCCCCTTTCTAGGTGCCTTTTCTCAATGTGTGAATACAGCAACTGGAAATACAGGCTTCCTGTGGAGATCCAGATGTTCTACTGTTGTTCTCATTGTTCTTGACAATTGACGTTACAAGATTGGAGCTATCAGGAATTGCAGTCCAAAAACAGCAGGAGATCCACATTTGCCAGGACTGTCTTAAATCTTCTGCAGCGATAAAAGAACTACGTAGGAGGGTTTGTTTTTCCCCTTTGTTTTTGACACTCATACATGGGGAAAAAAAGAATCTTCTGAAGGAAAAGTTGCTTAACAAAAATATTCGCCTTCACAGGAATATAATTGTTGTGGCTTGTTTTGAGCTTTTTCAGCAGGTTGATAGGTACCCAGGTTGATGCAAATCGAGATTTACTTTGCATTTGCGTTGAAAGTTACTTTGAGAACCTTTTGCTCCTGGGTGATTATTACAAGAAAAAACAAACACAGTCGATTAAAATGCAGCAGGGCAAAAAATAATTGCAAAAATAACATGGTTTAGATACAGCAAAGCAGGAGAAATATGCAGAGGACTTAGAAGTTGAAACCAAACAAAGAAGAACTTTGATTGGGACTTGAAAGGTAGCAGAGTTGGCCTCTGACAGCTCCTTCTTAAAGCCCATAAGTGGGAAGTGGGGGATGCTATTGTTACTAGATCTTCTACCTGCTAGATTTCATCTATTTCAGGACTCAGGTGGGATTACTGGAGAAGAAATGCTTTTGGAACTGTGGTTCCAAACCATGAAGAGTTTTAGAGGTTAAATGGAAAACTAAGTCAGAGGCACTGAAGCTGATCCAGCATAGATGTAATATGACCATAAAATTCTCCTAGGATTTTGATAAGAAGAGTGAAGTCCTTTATTCCATGAACACATTAGCTGTTGTTGCATGTACATTTCGGCGAACCTTTGGGAAGAGGAATGGGATTCTTATGTGCTTTCATGGATCTTTTGGAATAGAATCAGATAACATGCCAGTCCAGGCCAGATAGCAGCATGGTTAATGTAGTAACCATGCACTGCGTAGCACACAGCAATAAAAGGATCAAGCTGAGAGGCTGGCTGAAAACCTAGCAGCTTCATTTAGCATGAAACTTCTTGCTTTGGAAGAAGAATCTACAGGTAGTCCTCTTTTAACAACCACAATTGGGACCAGCAACTTGGTCCTTAAGCGAAGCAGTCTCTAAATGAATCCATGCCTGTGCTTATGATCTTACTTTAGCTTTCCTTTGCTTTGCAGAACTGCGAAGGTTGTAAATGTGAGGACTGGTTGCAAGTTACTCTTTCATCACCATCATAACTGCAAACAGTTGCTAAACGAGACAGTTGCTAAGCGAGGGCTACCTGTACTGCTTGTTCTACAGTGGGAAGGGGGAGAAATCAGGTGTCATAACTGGAAATAATAATAATGATAATAATAATAACAATAATAACAACAATAATTTAAATTTATAGATGTTCTTTAAGATAAGGGGAAGAGTTCTTCCTGTTAAAAGAAGCTGGAGGAGGGTGGAGTTTGAGGGAAAAGTTGATAGTCAGAACCAGGAGATACTTAACAGTGGACCAGACAGGAAAGGAGTTGGAAAAAAGAAAAGGAAAAAGACCCCAAACTGAGCTTGACAGCTCATGAAGTTCTTTGGCCTTCTTCTAGGGTGTTTTTTCAACTTTTCAGGGTAGCCTAACAGCCGGAGGATTTCCCTGTTCAAGAACTACTTAGGGCCAACCTTGCCTAGCATTCACATTCAGGCCAGGTGAGCCGGCTGCTGCTATCTGCTGAGACAGGCTAGTGGTGATGACCTCCTTCTGCTCTTCTCAGCCAATCAAAGCTGAAGCTGCAGTCCATTGTTTTAAGAAAGGGGGAAAGCCCATATTCCTAAACAAATAGTCAACTGTCAGCTGCCTTTTGGGTGTGGAGCCAATGAGAACAGTGTAGCAGTGTTCCTTCCCCTTCTTTCTCCAATGTATGTACCAAAGGCAGTATTGAAATAGTTTGGCTGCCTTGGGTCCCCCCCCCCCTTTTGAAATACTATTTCTAATTCTCAGCAGCTTTAGTCTGGCAGTCATGTCAGAACTACACTGTTCTGTCTTGTAACCTGACTTCTCCATGCTGCCTTAAATGATGCAATTACTCTAATTATTTTTCTGCCACTTATAAAAGAGCAAATAGTTAGGCACACCTCTGAGCTGTTTTTGGAGTACAGTCACCTTACGCTACTACTATTGCTGCCGTTCCAGCATGTTGCAAGTAAGTATCTGTACTGGTGTGTATTAAGTGCTGTTTTGTATTGGAACTAGATGGGATCTAGGATGTCCTAAATGGGAGGGTGCACAGGGAAGAAACCCTGGATTTTCATCTGTAGTAATGACCTTGCATGTGACTTTTATTGCTTACATAGGTTGTGGATTAAAATACTGCTGCCCATGTAAAATGTACTCACTCCTCACATCCAGTCAATAGATTTGCCAGATCTCTTGCTTTAAGGTTTCCAGACTTGCTTTTGAAGTAGTCATGCACAAATTCTGAAGGTGTGGTGGTCAAAGCTTCAACCCTATGTATCTTGCCCACAACTCATCCCTCATAATTCAGTATAGGGTAGTGGGTTGAATGGATGATGATTTTCTGGCTTTTATGCCCTAGCAAATGTTTCCCTGTTTACTACCATGCTGTTCAGTGTGGCACCCACAGATGTTACTTTCTTACCTCTATTGGCCATATGGGTGAACCTCCTATTGTGTTCCAGTGCTGAACACAAGTTTTTCAGGATTTGTCAATGTTCAGGAGCATCTACCTCTTCTAAGTCACTATCTGCCCCCCCTCCCCAGAAACTTAAGGATTCTATTCATATCTTTTTGCACAGAGAAGCTTCAGTTCAGAAAGTCAGTTTAGTGTAGTGGTTAAGGCACCAGGCTAGAAACTGGGAGACTGTTAAGTTGTAGTCCTATCTTAGGCACAAAGCCAGCTGGGTGACTTTGGGCCAGTCACACCCTCTCAGCCCTAGGGAGTAGGCAGTGGCAAACCACTTCTGAAATCTTATCAAGAACTAGTTCAGGCAAATGCCAGGTGTTAACACTGACTCAAAGACACTTAAAAAAAAAAAAAAAGGCTTAAGTTCAGCCATTTTAGATTCTTACCTTATAGCCTTTAGATAGCTCCTTCAATGTACGTATTAAACAGTACATCTCTTAATTAGATCCTGAATGAGGTCTTGATTTTGTCTTATGTTTAAACAGTATCTTTAAAAAGGAACAAGCACAAGCTTTTCTGGAGCTATAGCGACCCCCGCAAAACCGAAGATGGGGATTATATGACCTGTGTCATAGCAATAAGTTGCTTCACGTAGAGTTCTTTCTTAAAACTGTACATTGGAGCTTAGAAGCAATCATGGAAATTTTTGAAGGCATGCACAGAGGCATCTGTTCTTAAGCATGATGACGTCAAAAGGACAACACATGCCTTGTTATATCATGATGGAAGCTTCTCAAGTATGTTGAGATAGAGTTTGCGTTGTTAGTTTATACCGCACAGATTGTCACCACCCTTTGCTATAGATATCTGTGGAAATGCAAGTTGGGAAGAGAAGCAACGGCCTTGCGTTTCTTCTAAAAATAACAGGTCAGCAACAGGAAACATCCAATTTTAGCCATGCACAATGCAATTTAAGTAGAAATTGTTGGAGGCCATGCATTTGAGCATTCCTGAGGGCTAGAATATGAACTTAGCAATGATTAGTGAAGTGTGTGTGTGGGGGGGGGGGCGGTCATTCAGGACCTGGTGAAGAGGCAGTGGCATTAGATTTGCCCTCTGACAGAAATCTAGCAGGGCTGAAGTTTATTGAGGAGCATTTATTCAGTATTATACAGAAGTCACATACAAATGAATTTAAAAATGCTATTTTTAATCATGAGAGTGCCTGCTATCTGGGGGGAGAGAGGCTAAGTAATAAATTAAAACGGTGGAACTAGAGAAATGGAAAGAAACGCTGGACGTAATCTGTCTAGTTTTACAAATTCTGTATAAAAGTTTATATATCACCCTGCTTCAAATATCAGTCAAATGATGAACTGTCATAAAACAGAATAATCAAATACAAAAGCTACCCTGGTACACCAAAAGCCCATTGGAACAGAATAGTCTTCACAGGTTTGCAAAACCAAACAACATAAGGGGACTGCTTTCTTCAGAGAACTCGTTACTTCCAATGTGGGGTTCAATGCTGAGAAGGCATGCCTCCAGAACCCATTCTTTTTACCACACGAAGGATGGGGATCATCATCAGCCCTTCATGGGATGAACACAGGTTAATTTTGATATGATCCTATAGCTAGGCATGTACCAAACCATGCAGGGCTATTAAGGTTAAAACCAGCACTTGAATTGGGCCTAGAAGCCCCCCACAAACCAATGCAGTGACTTTAGCAAGATGTAGCACTACTAAACTTACTCTTCCTCATTAGTAGCAAGGCGACTTTATTTTGAATCAATTGCCGCTTCTGCGTCATTTTCCAGGGCAACCCCATGTGAAGCATGGGGCATGAGATGGTAATAATACAAGTCCCTCGTGTAAGGACTTCTCAGTCCCCAAAGATCCAGAACTGGTGCACTGGTTGAAGTTGGGTGAAGGCCCTTCTAACCTTGACTTCTCTATGCTGTTCAGGCTGGAGTACGAGTCCAGGAGGTCCCCTGAATTGCAGACTTGGAACTAGAATCCACCCAGGCTGATCATCTACAGTCAGCAATTCTGCTTGCAGGAATTTAATCTGAGCTTGTTTTGATCCCCTTCAGACTTCACAGCTTCCAGACACACAGTGCCCCCAACTCAATTTTACCAAGTATTCAAGGACGGGTGGGTGAGGCTCCATTGGGAAAAATATGTCAGCGGGATACAGGTTGGGACACCGATGTATAGATAAGATTGCTCCTCATTCTAAATGGCTCAAAATTCAACCAGAGCAGCAAATGACTATTTGTGCCTCTTTTAGAATCTGAGCATGATCTGTGTCCCTTTCCATAGTGTTTAACCCATGACAATCAAAAGATCATCATACCAGTAGTTGCTCTAGAGGGTCATGGCAAGTTTTCCTGCTGCAGTTCAGGGGAGGACATGACCATAATCTCCTGATCTGCCACCCGAACAGAAGGTCTTATCTTCTCTTCTGTGAGGCCAAGTCTGGCAGGCTGAAGTAGACCATGTAGAAGGCATTGTTGTATTATCTCAAAGGAACACAGCAAACGTATAATCTTACAAAGTCTGATGGTTGGTAACAATAAAAAAGATTGCAACCATCCCAAGCTAAAAGTTAATGTAAATGTGGAATAGCATCCGCCAAAGTCTTATTGTACCTAACAGTGAAGTACCTGAAGTCTCAACTGCTCTTCTGCTATTTGGGTGCAAAACTCCAAACTGACATTGGTGAAGCAACCTTCAAATAACTATTTTTTGAAACAATCTTTTTAGTAGGCTGTGATGAATATGTTTTTTCAGGGGAATTTTGAAATATGCACTTAATTCATGGAAGCCACTGAAAATCTAGATGAGGAGGTTGGGGAGAGAGGGGCTTTCAAATTGAAGTTGACTTCTGGTAGCTACATGGACCAGTGCCTGCAGTTTTCTACCCAGCCTTTTTAGAAAATCTGCACCTTGGAATGTCTCTATTGGTATTAGTGAGATATTAACATTCTAGTGTAGCAATACTCAAATAATACAAGTATATGCTTCTTCTAAGGAAGAATCAAGTAACAGCAACCAAAAGCATTTGTAAATATATATTTGAAACCATGTAGACAGAACTTTGCTCAGTCTTTGCTCTTTAGTGGAGTGGGAGGTTCTTATGTTTGGCTGGAAACCAAATTTAGAAAGGGCCAAACAAAGGATGTAATTGAGCCCTTCAAGCTAAAGGTTGCAATGAATTTCCTCCCATCTGATACTCCTTGACCAAAACATGGACTTATTTCATGAAGAGAGAGACAATTCAGTCTGAAATTATTACTGACTTTTCACTTCACAAACAGTTTGCTTTGGTATTAAACTGAAACTGTTCTGTCAATTTCACTTTAGCCAGGCTTCAGTTATGTCAGCTTTGTATGTTTGCTATTCTAGGTGTTCCTGCATTTTTTTTTAAACTGCTTGTTTCTAGGAGCAATAAATGATCTTCCACAGGATTGTTTATGCTGTATTTTGTACTTCAACCTCTTTTGAAAGCGTGTTTAGGTCTCTGTGATATATATATTGAGGAAGCATCAGAGTAAGAGATCTGTAAGAGGTCAAGGAGGCAGAAGGAGCAGCTGCAAAAACCTGCAACTGTGTGAAGAAGCATGGGGTGTAATCGAAGCTGTGGCTTGCTGACTGTTGCAATCATCGGGGCGGTGTTGGCCATCCTTGGCGGTATTCTGATTCCAGTTGGAAATCACTTTGTTGAGAAGACAATAAAAAAGGTAAGAGACACCTATAATTCCTGTATTACCCCATATTTTCATCACTTTCTTCTCAACATTTGCTTATGATGTAAACCATCACTACCACTAGCACCCTGTCACAATTGCCTCTAACCGTTTTTATGATTTAATCTCACTGTTGAGATGTTCTGACAAAGAACCTTCAATCTAGGCAGAACCATTTCTATAAAGAAATAGATCTTTACTGTTTTCTTGTTTTAGGTAGGTAAGCAGCCACTTACTATCAAAGTTGCTATTAGATGGTGGATGTTATCCTGTTGAAT